ACTCCTCGCCTTCTCCTTATGGTCAGGGTTCCAAGCAATGGATGGAGGATATAACCGGTATTTTCTTGTCCGAATCCTCTATCTACTCGATTAACACCCATAATTAATTTTAATTCTAACTTTTTTTTATCTAAAAGCTTTTATATGATTGGTTATACTTTTTATGCCATAAAACTGTCAGGAGCATTAACGTATTGTGAGGCAGCAACAATAGATTTTGATGGGCTTTAGCTACATGAAAGACATGGTGTAGTGGCTGTCTGTAAGTGTATATCACTTTCATCTATTTGATTGTCTTTTAATTCAATGTTTTGATTAAGAGTTCATTCTTTGTAGTTGCATTCAATTGTGGAACTGGTTTAATTACTATATAGCAGATGTTGATATAATGATATTGATTTTATTTATTTACTAAACAGTTGTTGAGTTACATTCCTGTAGGTTATACAACAGCTGATGACCTAGCAGGAATAGGTGAGGACGAGTCCGACGACCTGTTATCAGTTCAGTGTTACATTTTCAATAAATCTAGTTAGATTTTTAATTTGAGAACTGTTTAACTTATTTTATGTTCTGAAAACTGCTAATATTAACATCACACTTGCTTTTGTGGTGTGAAGCCCATCAACCTCCTTGCTTTCACCATTTTCACCTCTTTATCAATGTATATTATCTCTAATTTGTCATAGCTTTCACCATTTTCATAAGGGAGAGTGATGGTGTAGATTATATGTTTCCGTAAGGAAAACTGATTTTTTACAACTCTCTTTTACAGGAGGAAAGTCTATTGTTCGTTTGGACATTAAGTCCTGGAATAGTTGAACATAATACAGGAAGAAGCTGGAAGAGATGGTTAGGAGTGTGTAGATGGAAAATCTTCAATTCCTTCCAGAAGCAGAAGTATACACTTAGTCATTTTGTTAGTAATTTTAGTTGTTGTGCTCGACTGCAAGTAAAGTGTGTTTGTAATTGTTTTACTTGGATAAATTATGAAGTTGTAATTTTAGAATACTTTGTATTACAATTTTTATCTATAAATGAATATGTTTGTATGGTATTTCTATTATTTATCTATATTTACCTTGTGAGATCATTAATTAGTATGTATGTGTGTACAGTGTATATATATAGATATGATACTAGTGTATCATTTAAATATGTGATATGAAGGTATCGTTAAGAATTCCAATACAAATGTATCATTATATTTTATGATACTATAGTGTCACAATTTCCTGACACTTTTACCGTGACACTAAATTTAGTGTCACAACTCCCACCATTCGTTGACACTTTTTAAGTGTCACTAAATTTTTTAGTGACACTAATTTAGTGTCACTATAGAGCATTTTTCTAGTAGTGGAGGTACATACCCTAAAATCGTCCGTGAGATGCGAGGACCAACCGGCCGTGAGATGCGAGGACCAACTGGCTGTGAGATGCGCAGCAGACCGAAGAAACCGGCGGATGAGAGAGCATGATCGATGGAGAAACTAACCGGTGATGGCCGGAGAATCGTGCGCGCGCATAGGGTTAAACGGGAGAGCTAGCTTAGGCCATCGATGATTCTGCAAGCAAGTCTGGAACGGGTGAGCTGATGTATGGCGCTAAGTGTATGGATATGTGGTACGTATAGTAGCTGGGCCGAGCGGCCCATCGATGCTGGCCTGGCCTTATTCCTTCCGTAAAAAATGTTTAGTGTCACTATTTGAGCCTGATGTATTTGTGTTAGTAAATAGTGACACTTTTGTGTTATTATGGCTTTTATATGAGAAAGCGTCACTACAAAAGCGTCACTGTAAGCCAGTTTTCTACTAGTGAGAGTATTTTATCGTGGAAACCAAATCGGTGAAAACCACGGGCCTTTTTGGGCGGTACCATGCCAACGGGAGCCGGGAGCTTTTATTATAGTTGTGTGGGAGAGGTTACATGTACAAAACATATATGAAACTTTTAGGGAAGCCATTAATGGAGAAATAAACTAGGAAGAAGAAATATACATGTGTATGAGAGGAGAGAGATGGGAGTGATGTCTCGTAGGAAATGGAGTTGTAGCTAGGCAAAATGTCCCCTCTTTCATTGATGAGTAACTAGTCATTAAATAGATAAATATTCGGGTAGGTGGCATATGGGAAGTTTCCTCATCACACACATATGTCATGGTCAAATAAGTAAAGGTATGACGTGGGGCTGTGTGTGTTTCCTCTCAATTGTGTGAATCTGTTAATATCTTTGTATATCTGATTCCCGATAAGACTTTATATACAGACTGCGATGAGTCTAGAGGAATATTCTCCATCACAAGTCCCCCACTTTCTGGTGATGTGAGTAGAGGCTCAACAGTTCTAGAAAGTAGAATTCAGAATCTTGTATTTTCAATAACGTGTGTGCGCCGAGCACCATGCATGAAATGTGAGAGATCAGGTTGAAAGATTGCGATGATTTAATTATCCTTTCCCTTCCTTTAATAGGTCATGTATGCATTCACAGAAGGTCGTCCAAGGTATAGGGTAGGGCGAGGTGTGTGCCATTGGAATGGTTGACCTGGTCCCATATACTCGAGCAGGGCAGACCTCGAAAGCTAAAGTGTGTGCCATTGATGAATGGTTGACCTAGTCCCGTATACTAACGAGCAGGGCAGACCTGGGAAGCCGAGATATGTGCCATAGTCAACGGTTGACCCAATCCTGGTGTCCTTGTACGTTGGACAGTTTGACCCTCCCATAGACCTGATTAAAACATGACTTTTCAAAGGAAGATAAAGAAAAATTAAACATTCAATCCATGTCATCTATCACTTGTTGAGTGTCGACCTTGGGAGGTTGGTAGACCTGGAGGAGACGGATGATGATGGTTGGCCCAAATTCGCGGATGTGTGATGTGATGGAGCCTAGAGCTTGGAATCACAAGCGCGAGGATGGTTGGACCCAACCTAATTTTTAGTCATTCATTTCATATTTATTTGTTGTAGAGGCCACAACGGTACAATCTTTTTTATTGTTAATGACCTCAGTTCCTGTGCGGGTCCCATGGCAACATTATATTATGTCAAAATTGACGCAGAGCATCACGTGTCCCGTTTAATAGGAGTAAAACAATGCAATTGTGCACGTATAGGAGTAGTATGTTTGTTCTTCTTCCGTAGGAGTAAAAAAGAACTAATTAGACCAAAATAACCTTAATGAATATAAAGTTGAACACATGCAACCCATTCGGTCATACGGAGTATTAGAGAAACTATGTTCAGGCTATTTTGTCTTGGGGAAAAGACTTGTATAGGACTAAAACAAGGCTTAGGAACGTAAATAGGACTCCCTACTTTTTAATCCCTAAATGAGACTGGTTTTTTATGGAAGGACAAAAACACCCCTAAATTAAAATGACTCTGCCTGCACATGTTTCTGCAAACATACGGATTCTATCAGCGTCCAAGGCTGAGGCTTATAGCTCTGCTCCGTCGCTATAATTGGAACATCAACAGAGTTCACGAGGGGTGGTTCGCCGACGAGGAGAGTGCAGAAGGAGTTGAGTATGGTATAGTGTCGGTCCGATGAGAGCTGCGCAAGTTATCGACGGAACAGTCAGCGACACAAGCCCGCCCAACCTCGTAGCCTCTTCTTCTTCTCCCACTTTTTCTTCTTTCTACACCCGATGCCTCCCTTTAACGAGCGATGAATGTTGATAGCTTTCTGGTCTTGATTTACTTTTTGTTTTTGTTTTACCTTTTTCTTACTTTTCAATTTATTATTTATTATTAATGAATTTAGTTTTGCTTTTTTAAGTTTTGTATGCTCCGTACTCCGTTTTGTTTTGCAAATTCATCTAATGAATTTAATTTTCTGCAAAAAGTTTATTATTTTATTTTGACAAATCTTTTTGATTGACAATGAAATGATAAACGTTATCAATGTTAGTAATGTTGCTGGACGGATTTTCTGCTGATGCTTTGGGAGAAGCTGTTATGGGCCATCCTGGAATGTTAATATGAGTTGCAAACGTTTTTGTAAGTGCTATTTTGAGTTGGATTTTTTTATTCAAATTTTAAAATGTGGAATCAAAATGAATTCGGGTTGACCTGACATATCTTGACACAGTGACAATGTCAATGATAATGTCATAAAAATGTATAAAAATATATCGGGTTAAGAAAATGTCACAATGACAATGTCATTGTCGATGCTATAAAATGACATTGTAGTTATGACAATGTCAATAGCTACTATGACAATGTTAATTTCATGAAAAAAAAGTCAAAAGAATGTCATAAAAATGTCATCGGGTAAAGAAAATGTCACAATGGCAATGTCATTGTTGGTCCTATAAAATGACATTGTAATTATGACAACGTTAATAACTATTATGACAATGTCAATTTTATATATAAAAAAAGTGACAATGTCGAAAAGTAACTACTATGTTGCTGTAATATTTTTGCTACTATATTGCTGTAATATTTTTTATAACATTGGTATTGTCAGACAATTGTTGACATTGGTATTGATATTGTAATTTTTACAATGTCGTTTTTATGACATTGACATTGTCATCGTTATTATTTGACATTGTGACTTTTTTATAACATTGTCGATGCTATAAAATGGCATTTGTAATTATGATAATGTCAATAGCTATTATGACAATGTTATTTTTTTTTTAAAAGTCAAAAGAATGTCATAAAATGTATAAAATGTCACCAGTTTAAAAATGTCACAATGGTGATGTCATTGTCGATCCTATAAAATGACATTGTAATTATGACAATGTCAATAGCTATTATGACAATATTAATTTTATAGAGTCACAATATCAAAAAATGTTGTAATATCAATTAATCATGATGATAATGTCATAAAAATGTTATAAAAATGTCAATGATAATGACATAAGAATGTCAATGACAATGACATAAGAATGTCAATCATTACAAAATGACATTGTTAAAACGGAACAATGATAATTCATTTTTAACAGAACATAAAGTCAAAAGAACAAAAGCAAGATAAAGTAACACGGAAAGAAGAAAATAGAAGCTAGAAGAAAAAAACAGAAAAGAAAATCGAAAGAGAAGAAACTAAAAAGAAAAAGGTCAGATCATAGATCCAATAGCTTGAAGGCTTGAAGCTACAAAAACAAAAAAGTAGTGAGATTACAGATCCAGTAGCTTCACGCTACAAAATCGAAAACAAGTCAGTGCCACGCTGAAGGAAAATAAGCCTAGAAGAAAAGAAGGAAGAATAAGGTCGGAGGAGGGACTTGCAAAGGATTTCCGCCTCTGCGTTGCCTCTGCTCGCTGCTCAGACGCCGCCGCCTCACCAACTCGTCGTGCCACCGCTGCCACTACTGCGTCACCTTGTTGTCTGTTCTTTGTTGTGCTCGTATCCGGCTGTGCCACCGCACTCCTAATCTTCTTCATAATCGCAGGAGTTTGTCAAGAGACGAGCGATGCGGTGAGATTGAGACACGGTCTTAGAAAATAAGAATTTAGGGGTAAATCTGGAATGAACGGATATTTAAGTCCTATTTAAGAGTTAAAAAAGTCAAGCTCTTATTTAATTACATACGAAAACTTAAGCTCCTATTCAGTACCATTTCTCTTTTGTCTTCCACCACATGACCGCACTGGACACACCAGCCTTTTCAAAACAACCTCTCTAGTAAGCCAGCTACTTTCAGTGGCTCCAGCACCAGCGGCACCACCTGCCACCTTCATTGTCACCGTCACCTTCTACCGCCGCATCTGACAAGGTCGCCACCGCCGCATCTGACATAACCGCCGTAGCTGCCGCCACATTTGACATTGTTGACCCCACATCTACCACCACCCACCGCCTCCTTGTCTCTGCTGCCACCGGATGCATCTATTGCCGCCGCCGCCTCTTCTAGCAAGTGGATCTCTGGAATCGAAGCAGTCTGCCGCTGCAGACCGGCATCATTGCCATCTTTACAAAGGAGTGACATATTTTGACATCTGAAAATATGGCACTTTGAGAGAAAAATCATAACACTTTAAAACAAACAACATGACATTAGAAGATAGAAAAAAATGACATTAGAGATAACATTGTCATTTTGACGTAATTAGTGCCATAAAAATAACATTCTTTGCCATTAGTTTCCAAAAAATAACATGGCATCAAATAAAACTGCCTTTTGGCATTTTGTATAAATGACAATTTGTAATGGCATAAAATTGGTATAACTTGGCACTGTTGGAATAAAAATGACAATTTGTAATGGCATAAAATTGGTATAACTTGGCACTGTTCGAATAAAAATGGTGTTATGGCATTTTCATATTTAAAATAAAATAAATATAGATAGCAATTTTATGTATTAAAATAAATTACCAAAATCATTTGGAAAAACATGGAATCGAACAGTTCATATCTCCACCGAAGCCCTGAATTTTCGTATCTCAATTTTTAGATCGGAAATATAATTGTTGAATTTAGTATCTTAAAAAATGAAATAAAATCATTGTTTGAAATAAAAAATCAGAAGATGAAAACAGAACAGGGACGAGAATGAAGAGGAGTGCAGAAGAAGAAGAAAGAAAGAAAGAAGAAGGAAGAGGAGGAGGAGAATTACCTGCTCCTTCGACCGTGGAGGCAATTCCGGAGAAGAGAGGCGACGGTAGTAGAGGCGAACAAGATTGGCGAACGAAGCGGTGCTGGAGGTCAAACTGGGCTGCGAAAATGGAACATGGTGAAGCCTCAGTACAGTTCCATCGACAGAGGAGCGAAGCATCAATTTTGGGGATAGGTTTAATCGATCGAGTAAGAAACTAAATCGCTAGTAAGAAGGGTATAAAGGGTATATGATTAATATGTGGTCTTATTTAGGGAATAAAAAACTTAAACTCTTATTTAGGAATTTTCACCATGTTTAACTCCTATTGAGGCAAATTCTCATTTAATTATGTGAAATTCTTTCAAACTGCTCTTAAGTATCAGTATCACGAAGCCCATTTTCATGTGAACCGGCCAACGTAGCTCTCTTAATGGCGGGCGTCTCCCTTCACTTGGACATGGCTTGTAACAACTGAGCGAGATGGTCCGAGCGGTAAGATTGAATCACCGGACGGCGGAGTGAAAGTCGGCACGCGATATTGACGGGGTCCGGACGTCTAGCTTTTGGTGTTGATCTGCACCAGATGAACTATTTTGGTCTCTCTGCTGCCGCAATACAACTCAGCTTCAACGTCATTTGATCCGATCTCCTTTTGGAAACTCTCTGCAACTCTGCAAGTTCATGCATTTGGTATATTCACGTAGGTGATATATTTGAAAGAATGCACATAGTTTCTTTTTGTTTGGGTGGGTCGATCTCATTCTCTTTTGTCATTTAATATGGGCTCTATTTTTTTTTTAAATAAAAAATGTGAAAACATATCTTCCATGCCCCATACATATCACTTACGTAGTTACGTATAATATAAACGGTTTGTATGAGATCAATTTTTTCATTGAATGAAAAGGACCCATTACTTAATTATGGCATGTTTCAATGATACCACTTCTCAGGTGGCCTACCCTTGAATGATAAGATATCATATGCCTAGATCCTTTTAATTAACTTATTCGTTTAAATTAAATATTACAGTACCATTACTAGTAGCTAATGTTAGTAAGGATGTTTTTACTTGGACTGTAATTTTCTGGTCTGGTCTGGTCTGGTCTGGTAAGGTCTGGTTTCTTTGTATTTTTATAACTATCCAAGTCTGGTCTGGTCTGGTCTGGTCTGAACTGGTCTGGTCTGGTCTGGGACAAATTACAGTCCAAGTAAAAACATCCTTACTGATATTTACGTTTGGCAACAATACATGTTAGTATGCAGTATTAGTTTTTTTTTCAGTATGCATTATGCAGAAGTAATGCGCAATATTAATTTATTAAGCATACATATTTTTCGTTGTTTCCTTTTTAATAAAATTATACTTGTATATTTTAGCATGTTATGTGTATTTTTTCTAGATTACTTTGTGAAATATTAATAATTGCTTTTTTTAATAACTGCTATTAACTGTTTAATGTTAACCGTATTTGTATATCTCATTAATTATTAGCAACGTAATAATGCATTAAATAATATATTTCTATTATTATAAAAATACCACATATATACAATAATAGTAAACTTTTATACTTAAATATTCTATCTAAGTATCGAAAGAGTATGTAATGATATAGGATGAACTTATCTTTTGTGATGATTCTGTGATAGTTGCTCTTCACCAGATAGATATGGTACAAGTCATAACTCAGCTCCGCTCTCAATGAAAGCACCATTTGATGGAACTAATTGTCCCGATCGAGTAAATTAAGAAATTAGAACGGACAGAGTATTTTATCGTGGAAACCAAATCGGTGAAAATCACGGGCCTTTTTGGGCGGTACCATGCCAACGGGAGCCGGGAGCTTTTATTATAGTTGTGTGGGAGAGGTTACATGTACAAAACATATATGAAGCTTTTAGGGAAGCCATTAATGGAGAAATAAACTAGGAAGAAGAAATATACATGTGTATGAGAGGAGAGAGATGAGAGTGATGTCTTGTAGGAAATGGAGTTGTAGCTAGGCAAAATGTCCCCCCTTTCATTGATGAGTAACTAGTCATTAAATAGATAAATATTCGGGTAGGTGGCATATGGGAAGTTTTCTCATCACACACATTAGTGCTGGACTCGGGTCGGGCGGCCCGAACCGGAACCGGCCCGGCCCGGCCCGGTTACTGTGTGAACCGGCCCGGTGGCCCGGTCCACCGGCGGTTCGGGTCGAACCGGCCCGGTGGATACCGGTTCCGGGCCCGGGCCCTCCATTTGGTGAACCGGCCCGGCCGGTTTGGGCCCGGTCCGGGCCGGATTTTTTTTTTTTTTTTGAAATTCTTTTAATTTTTGGATTGGATTAGGTATTTTGGGCCATTTTTGGTTTGGGGTGGTTTGGGGTTGAGGGGGAGGGGTAGTGGGTTAAATAAGAGAAGCCAAAAAATCAAAAAAAAAAAAAAAAAAAAAAAAATTGGGGCGGGTGAACCGGCCCGGAACCGGTCACCGCCGGTTCGGGCCCGAGCCCTCCTTTTGGTGAACCGAGGCCCGGCCGGTTCAAGGCCCGAACCGGGCCCGGCCCGAACCGAGTCCAGCCCTAACACACATATGCCATGGTCAAATAAGTAAAGGTATGGCATGGGGCTGGGTGTGTTTCCTCTCAATTGTGTGAATCTGTTAATATCTTTGTATATCGGATTCCCGATAAGACCTTATATTCAGACTGCGATGAGTCTAGAGGAATATTCTCCATCAATAATTAATTCAATTTTAATAATAAAAATTTACATATTTAGAAACTACATTAAAATCTCTATGAACTTGCAAAATTTAATTTTAAAATTTAATTAAGACTTGATATCTTAATTAAGTGAATAAAATGAGTCTGCTTTATCTAAAAGTCAATTTTTATAATTCAATTTGGGATGAAGGGAGCATTAAAACGGGACACATTGAAAAGTTAGGCTAAATGTGAAATGTACATTATACTCGGACGAAAAGTCGAATTCATTCGTAAACCTTGTAAGTTTTCTCCTCCTGATCTGAAACTTTTAGAGTCCACACCCGAATTTTACCGTCCTAGTGGCGAGTCATACTCCTCTCCATTTTCTTCTCTCCATTTAATCTCTCCATTTCTTTTTCACTCTATCTCTCTCCTTTAAAAATTTATTAAATCTTATCTTTTATTTTTCCCTACCCCATCATTTTCCCATCCCTCTCTATATCTCTCCTACTAGAAGAATCCAGACTGGAGAGGAGCCAAATTCCCTAGTGACGCACGAAAAAAGGTTCGGTGAAATAGGTCTCAATTAACCTAAAACAAATTCTACTCATTACTAATGTTCCTTATTAGTGGCAATGAAGCAATTATATGAAATGAAAAGAAAATTGCTTATAATTTGAATTGTGTATGTGTTGAGGAAATAGTTGTAGTTTTTATTTTATGGAAACTAGGCGGTTCTACTCCATCCTAATACTTTACTTTAATCTAATAGTTAAGCACAAGAACAATCTTGTCATCTCGATCTTTCAAAAATCAAAACCGTCTTCCACTAATCCAATTCATAGACAGTTGATTATGCTTTCACGATTCTCTTTTTTATGAAAAAAGATTGGTGTACACAAAATTTGTATACAAATTTTATACACTTGTCTGTTCCTCACAGCCAAGTTGTCTGTCCAGAGATGAGTCGTCTGTTCACAGACAACTCATATCCGGACAGACAACTTGTCTGTGAGAGACAGACAAGTGTACAAAATTTGTGTGCAAATTTTGTGTGCACCTAGCTCCACCCCTTTTTTATAGATGAGAGCAAACTTCTTTATTATTGCCGGCAGGTTTTTTGTTTTGCCGCCGGCCTTTTTGTTTTTCTGTTGATCATCAAAAGCAGGGTAATCGGTAAAAGTTTGTGCGTGATGTATTTTGTAATTCGTATTCAACGATGCAAAGTAGTTTACTATCCTCCCTCAGGTAAAATATTTTAATGGTACAATATAAAATGTTTTAAAAAATGTCGTACAGTTTACATCGAATAATTAAAACAAATGGTGTAAAATGTTACTTCTCCGTACTTCGCATTTGAAGTATTTACTTTACATCGTATGAAACGGGCTCTAAGTGCAAAATCAAATAGAAACGCCACTAGTTGTTGACATGGGTGTTGGAGATTCCAAAAACGCAAAATAAAAAATTGTATAGTAATTCCTTTTTAACATGGTGCAAACCACCTCTGTGGTAAATGACAAGGATATTACCACGTTTTATTTTAAAAAATGAGTACATATAGAGAGGGAATCGAACTAAGACCTCTCTAGGGTGGCATACCACACCAAAATATACTCCGTAAAAGCTAGTGCAAGAGAAAAACTAAAGACAATAAGAGATAAACACAAAAGAAAGTACAATGTAAAAATTCAAATATGAGATTAGTGTCTCATATACAAAAGTGCCGTTCATATCAAGCTTCAGATACCGAAACGAACGTCAAAAATGAGAGATCGTTCTTCACTAAATTTGGTTGAGATCAGTTGCCTTTAAATCTTCTTGAACTAGAGAATGAGCGACCATGTTAATCTCTCTTTATATGTTGCAAACTCCAATCAGAAGTTCATTGCATAAATCAAAGAGTTTATGCATCCAAGAAGCAAGGTGAGAAAGAAGGCAATGTTTATGTCTTGCTTTTGTACGTGATTCCAAGTGAATCTCCGATTGAATAATTGTATAGACGTATAGTGAATCCTTTTGCACCATTGTAGAGAAATAGTTCCCGCAATGATTTCAGCTTGAATAACAGATTTAGCTTTGATTGGGAAAATGATTTCAGCTTGAATAACAGATTTAGCTTTGATTGGGAAAATGATTTCAGCTTGAATAACAAATTTAGCTTTGATTGGGAAAATGATTTCAGCTTGAATAACAGATTTAGCTTTGATTGGGAAATAAGCTGCTGCTAAGAATGAGTACAATTTTGTTCACCCCTCCTTGGAGGGTGAACATCACCCCATATCTCAAATGTTGTCATTTGGCATTTCATTTCTTTTTTTGCCACATGGCAAACAAATAGGGAGGGAGTTATGTTCACCCTCCAAAGAGAGGGTGAACAAAATTGCACTCCCTAAGAATTCCCCATCTTAGTTCCAGAGTTTAGCACCACCAACACAAACATCCTCCTTGAAAACTGTATCAACATTTAATCTATGTTTGTAAGGGAAGTTGTTCTTCCAAATCGGGATACTAGGTCTAGCCCTTTTAATTTCACATGATATCAACTTGAGCTAGTTCATTGTTGAAAATCGTGAATTTGAAATTTTTATAGGTTAAGCACCATTGTTCAATAATAAGTCTAGTTATGTTTGATAATTTTAACTTCATTAAATTGGATATTAGCATCCCATAGAAATGCATTCAATTCATTGCTTTCCAGATACACCAAAAGATAATTCGAAAAGCATCTATTTGATAATACCGTCACTAGATGACCCCTTTGTTAACCACCGGCTAATTAGCACCTTTCTGAGTTGAATGTGACTTCAAAAGTTAATTTGTAGCATGACCATGAAGTATTTCTAAATATCTTCATATAAAACTTTGCAATTATTATTACTCCCTCCGTCCCACCAAGATTGTGTCATTTTACTTTTTTGAAAAATCTCATACTAAATTTGGTAAAATCTGTACGACTCTAATCATTCTTATTCTATTTTTACTTTATCAATTTAATACTAATCACATAAATTCACTCTTTTTAAGAATTGTGTCACATCCTCACGTCTCAATGTTAGTTAGACGGAAGTAGTATTTCTAAGTTTGTTATTTCTATTATTTCTTTTGGCTCTATACAAACAAATGAACAATCACAATTTTACCTTTATAAATCCACGTACCAAATGAAATTGGCAATGTTTTAACAATTTAACTTATAAGCATCAAATGATGTTTTCACTTGAACTTATTTTAATCTCAGATCAGACCCAAATCAAACCAGAAAATTTCAATAAAAACATCCAAAATGAAAATCCCAAGAACTTGAAACCTTAATACGCAAAGGAATGCAAAGTGAGACAAATAAACAAAGAGATTTGCTTGGTATACACGTTTTGTACACGTTTTATGTACACAAACAACTTTTGCATTTTTAGTAGGTGCATTTTTAGGGTTGATTTGCAAATGCTTAAAAAAAACACTTCTCAGCTTTTGACTTAAAAAACACTTATTTTATCAAACACTATCAACTTTTACTTTTCTCAGCTTTCGTGTCAAAAATACTTTTACTTTTTCTATTACACAAAAAGCACTTATTTTACTAAACACTACCAACTTTTACTTTTCAAAATTACTTTTTCTCAAACACTATCAACTTTTATTTAATCACTTCTTCTCTTTTCATTAAAAAAACACTTTTTAAAGCAGAAGTTGTTGCAAACAGACCCTTAAAAAAGATTGTGTGCGTGTATACACAAGTAAAACATAAGGATGTACAATTGGTACAAAAAAAGTGCCAAACACGTATACAAACAAAATTTTCCATAAAAGAAAGATTGCTGAGCAGAGTACTTCTCTTGAAAAGAGATTAAAAACAAAAAACGAGAAAAAAAACACAAGAAAAGGGAAATATCCACTGATGGTGTCCTCTAAACAGTTAAAACAACATTTCCAGCCTTCCAGGAGACATGTGCTAAGGTAAGTAACTAAGGCAACCATCTCCTCCATCTACACTAATCTCATAACATTTGAGAACAAAAATGCAATAGAAATGTAGAAAACCACTTGCCCAAAATATTGCACATGTTACCAAGACGACAGTTTAATCTACAGTCTTCTTCTTTTTCTTCTTATCTTTCTTGGTTGATTCGGTTCCATCTTCATCAGCCTCCGCATGCTTTCTCTTCTTTTTCTTCTCTCCAGCTCCGGAATTATCACCTTCCTTATTCTCAACCTGCTCCACCTCTGCCAACTCTTTTTTCTTCTTCTTCTTTTCTTTCTTTCTTGCATCTTCTGTTTCAGGTTCTGCTGACCCATCTTCCTTTTTCTTCTTTTTCTTCTTCTCCTCTTTAGCAGGTGTTTCTTGAGCACCTTCTGCATCCATCTTTTCAGCTACGTCAACATGCCCCAAAACAGAATCTGCTGAAGGATTGTAAACCTAGGAAGAAAAATGTAAATCAATAATAGCTTGTATCAAACAATGCACTCCTAACAAGTAGTCCCAATCTAAAAAACTGAAAACTAGAAAGAAAAAATGGCTGCAAAATTGCAGGGCACACCTTGGCAGGAGTTATCAATGCCCCAGAACCTTTTTTAAGATCTTTATTATAGAACTCTATCTTGGGCTTCCCTTTAGCGGATCCTGCTGAACGACTCAAATCTCTTCCTTCTAGACTTCTCAACCTTGCTTCAAGCTATCAAATATAGTTATATCATTATATTAGAATAAGAATATAGCAGGTGATCGAAGAGAATGCAATTTTGAGGATTAAATCTCTATCTTGTTTATATGAAAGCAATTTGGAGTATGTGATCTATAATAAAAGTTCAAAGATATAACATATGTGCTGATCATGATCATTTCAACCACTGGATCAGTCATTTTTAGAAACATGATATAGACTTGGCCATCATCCAAACAGAGTATCAGAGATAGAGATTCATGTCAGAAAAATATACAAAATATTGATAGTACCTTTGCACGATTCTCCAATCCCATAGTACAGTCTTGCCCTTCACCAAGAGCATCATACCGAATTGCTAATGCAGTTTTGGCGGCAAGAGACCTTGAAATTTTACCCTTGTGTTTAGGTGCTGCTTGACCAATCAGTGACGCATGGTATATCAGCCCATACTTAGGAGTTGCATGCTTTGTTTTCAGAGCCCTAAATAGAGCCTTTTCTGCACCAAGAATCTGAACAGTGCTCCCAGGTTGCTTTGCAAGATTCAACAAGCTACCACCATGAGCAATGAGCCGGGCCCCAACAAGTTCTCCAACAAGCGCGGTGAGATTTGGAGCAATGGTGTTCATCCTGCTCTTCAAATAATCATATAACTGTGCTCTGTACTCTGAAAGAGCGAGGACTTGATTGCATAGGTCTTTAATGTTGACCAGATCAAGTTCACTGACTTCAGTTCCCATGGAAATCATTGCCGCCTCTTTCAGTTCTGCCTCTACCTCTTCAGCTAGTACCTATGGTCATTTCAAGTACATAGTTTAACAAACCCCGTCCATTATAATATAATAATAATAAACACAAGCATGATCTCTAATAAATGGAAACTGACATCTTTTTCAAATATCTCAAATATGTACTGCTTTGGGAATTACACTTCTAAGATATGAGAATGAGTAATATACATCATACTCTGTCATGAAATTATCAGTACTTTAATCAGATTTAAGGAAAAGAAAACTGTGTTGATATTTATCTAGAAGAGAGAAATTATGTGAACAACATAAGAAGTATTGCATTTCCTAACAAGAAATAGGCAATAATTTTGGGATGGATAAAAAGGAAAATATGAAGATAACTTTGAAACAAGTTGAAATCAATTAAGACTAGCAAACAGAAGATGAGCCAGCTTTCCACAAACCATCTATGATCTAACATAGTAACATATACTCCGTACTTCTGAAGTTCCAAAAATGAGTCATGTTTCAACTTTCAAACACCTTGTCAGAAAAAGAGTGATTGTTTAAATGTCATGCAAACTTCTACATTTAAAAAAAATCACAAACCAGTTGCATTTGAAAAATTAGTTGAAACCAACCAATGAATCATGTGCATGATTCATGAGTCATGACAGATCTACCTTGCCAAGATATAAAATAGAGTAATATGGTCAAACATGAATCCTGTTTTGGAAGGGTAGAAATAGTTCATGGAAAAACATATGAAGTACTAAATAATATAAAGAACTTACTCCTTTGCATTGATATCAAAATTTAGCGCACAAAGCATGACATCAGATACAAGGACAATCACACTGCTGATATGATTCCTGAATATTAAACTGTAAATTGAAGGGGTGTATGAACCTCAGAAAAGTCAAGCTTTGCAGCATTTGTACGGTCACCCATCAACTTGACTGTTTTAGCATACTGAATATTGTCTTGTACAATCTTTGCAAGCTCTGGGAAATGCCATCCATACCACTCTCGGACTCTCATAGCATAAGTGTTTAGCTCTTTATCAAGATCATCCAACAAGCTTATGGCCTGAACGATCATTGTGTCCACCTGGAAATAAAACATCATTAATGATTGAAGTATATGGATATTCCATTAGTATGAGGTAATTAGCTTCTCATATATGGTCAGACAGTCGATTTCAATTTTGCTGATTTCAAGACATAAATTACAAGAAGAATGACTTCAAGGATAATAATAATAAAGACATTTTACCTTATCAGGGCTAAATTTTAGCTTGTATCTTGAAAGGCTATGAGATAATCCCAAACTCATCGGAGCCAAATCTTGAGCACCTAGACCAGTTATGAGCTCGGTTAACTGACTCCTCAATCCTCTCATCAATTCCATGACTGTGCTGTTGTGCACACAGTCAATTTGCTGCAGTCATAGCACTTTCTTAGGTCCAGAGAAGCAAAAACTGATATCTTAATATTTATACGGGTGTTCTTGACAAACCAGTTTCTCCTTAATTGCATTTCCAAGCTTTGAATCGGCTACCGCCAAAGTTTCCCCTTCACAATGAGAGCGTAAGAACTTGCGCAGCCCTTTGCTAGGCTTACTGTCTATCAACAAAGTAGCTGCCGACAATGCTTCTGAGGTGTTCTCGAACTTAGAGAAAGCTTTCAGCTTCACAACCTGTCTCCATCCAAACTAATTAGAACTATCAACGAATCAAAGGGATAAAAGGTAAGACTTTCGAAAAGCAGAACAAAAAGAGACCTTGCGAGCGGAGTCTGCAGTTGAAAACTCCTTCCATAAATCCTGGAAAAGAACATCCCAATGATTACAGTATCCAGCAGATCAAACGAAAACGTATGCATAGAAGAGACAGACACGTACCTCAACTTTCGAAAGCTTTCCCTCATTCAATACCTTGAAAAGGGCAAATCCCGCCGGGGTTTCAAAAAGCACCAGCATCTCCACACAGGCCAAAGTTGGAGATGAAATGGGGTGCCGAGAAATCCAGGATTTTAAGGTCTGCGGAGATGATGAATTAGGGTTTAGCCGTGGAAGACTGGATTTTAAACAGGTGTGCCCGTCAGTTAGACATTAGGGTTTTACTGAGATTATCTTTGCTAATATGAAATCGGTCCTCCTCCCGGCAACTTTTTTTCCATCATGGGACAGATTTAACGCCACTAACTGTATATTGCACTCCTTAATCCGTATTGCTTACAGTATCAAATTTATATCCTCTTTCATAAAGTTAAATGAAATAATGACACAAATATTACCTATAAGGTTTTAATAGACAAAAATATGATTATATTGGGATTTTACAAAATAGTGACTGTATATTCTCCCAATCCACATCTACGCGCACAATCCTCTCCTCCCAATCGAGACATCTACGCCTGCAACCCTTCTCCTCCCAATCGACATCGACGAAGACGAGTAGAGGAGGGAGGAGAGCAGCGATGGTGAGCGGCGACGTAGAACGGCGGCGGAGAACTGCGACATCGATGACGAGCGGCGACAGCGAGGACGACTGAACAAGCAGCGGCTCTGTTAAACCATTGCACTGCCATTGTTGTCTAACTTTGTTGCCTTAGATTCAAAGCCTGTGTCTTTTCCTTCTACTTTTGTTCGAGTGCCACCGGAATCAACGAACGGCCAAGTTGCAGATTTGCTTGGAGTGGCGGCGCGGCTTGATCTTGATGGCTAGGGTTGCGGGTGTTAGGTTGTGGCGGCTGGGGAGGGGGCCAGGGTTGGATAGGTCAGGTGAAGAGGTGGCTAGCTGCTAGGAAAGGGTGTTGTAGATGAAAGGGTGTTGTGGATGGAGGCTTTGGCAGGGGAGGGGCAGTGGGAGGGTGCAGGCGTGGGGCGGTGACGGCTGCGGTGATGGCCGGAAAAGGGCGGCCAGAGTAACTTCAAGTGGGGGCCTCACTGTAAAATCGAGTGTCACTGTGCACTGTGCGGCGTCACTTTGGTGGCGTCACTGTAGACACAAATTTCCATGTTGATCACTCTTCATTCAAGTACATGAAAATTCACTAGAATTACCAAATCACCTATAGACACAATTAAATCCACCACTACCCCTTTTTGAAAAATAGTGAGCCTATTAGTTACTTGAACAATGACACCGAGTTCATCTAAAGGTCAAATTTCTAAGTGCATAAGGAATTACATTAATTGATGCTTTTAAGTTTAACATGGCGCTAGAAACCACGATGTTCTCTAGCTTGCAAGTGATAGTGAACATTTCTGGGTCAACACATTTTTTAGGAAGTTCTTTTGAAAATTTGTCGATTCACTAACTTGAATCTTTTGTTTCCCATCTATTCGATGTTTCCTCTTGATAGTGTATCGTTCTTTTAAGAACTTCACAAAATTTAGGAACACTTCATCAAGTTGAGAGGGGGAAGGGGAGGGGGGGTTACCTCACATTTGACGAATGTCTAATATATGTCTCTTTCCTTCTCCATTCTTCTCATTTCTTTCGATGCTTCAAGAATGGAGGAAGTGGTTCATATGACATCAATGGAGGAGGATTTATCTTCATTGTCTCCACTTTCTCCTCCGGTTTGGCCTCCTCATTGTGGTTAAACGTCTTGATTTCTTCTTGTTCAACCTCTTTTCCTTGCAACTTCTTCTCGCTCTTTAACATGGTTGCATTAACATGTTGTTTCGAGTTGTACTCCGTCTGAGAAGGAAGTTTTCCCGAATAATTTTCTTTAAGCTAGCTCATAGCATTAGCTATTTAACTGACTCTATTCTCCAAATTTAGGATGTTAGACTTTGTTTCGTTCTAGAATTGATTCATATTTTGTTGCATAATTGTCATATTGGAGGTGAGAGCCTTGATCATGTCCTCTCTGGACATGCTAGAGTTGGAGCTTTAGCCGTGGTGCTATGATTGAGGAATGGTTACTTAATTGTTGGGAAGGTTGATGGGATTGTTGAGAATTTTCATACCTCAAGTTTGGGTGATCTCTCCACCCCAGATTATAAATGGTTGAGTATTACTGGTCATACCTTTTATGTGGTGTTTGTCCTTGACATCCCATGGCATTGATCTATTCGATCAGAAAGGTCTTCTTGGAGCATTGAGCAAGAATCAGTTTGGATGTCTTTTTGAGTTTTAGCTCAAAATAAAATTCCTTCACCGTGTTGTCAACTATCAACTTGACTTTAGAAGGATGATGTGCTAGACTTCGCCGCAAAGACTCTTTTTGGTCGTGACTTTCAGACAAAAGTGCCTTGTATTCTCATTTAATTCTGAGATTAACATTATTGTTTTCGATGGAGCTTTGTTCATTATGCTAGCAATGATAGCAGCCAGCACAAAGTTTTTTGACTGGTTCCCAAAATTTTTTCAATGGTTCATCATCATCTTTTTTCTCAACAATTCTAATTTGCTTCTTTAGACTCGATGAAATGACAACTAGATTGTATTTCTCCAGGAAAAACTCTTTCATGGCCACCCATTGTGTATTTATACTTCCCGAGGGAAGATAGAATGGAAAAGTTCTTACTCCATGACTTCATTTGGTTTCATGTTTGAGCAACATAAATTTGGAGAGATAGTTGTTTGGATCTTCCCCTCCCAATCCATGAAATAAAGGAAGGAGGCAAATCCGCCCTGACTTTAACTCAAACATAGCACCTTCATCAAGATTAGGGAAGGTGATACATAAGAGTTTTTTTGTTTATATTCGGAGTTGTGAGCTCCCTCGATGTTCTTGTCTCCAGGGCCATATGAGTGTGTTCTTTGAATTCACTGGAGCTTAATGTGCCCTACTGACGAACACTTTGTCGTGGTGTGCACTCAAAATAATTATATCAATACAACACTTATACATAGTATAACGTAGTAAGGTTTATATCCATAGGGAAAGGAATACTTCTCTTCTTAATAAAATAGTAACAAGGGGGGTTTAAAGGTTGTAGAACTTAAAGAGTATTTAAACACCAAGTTGAATGACTTATGTGGTTTAATTAATTAGAGATGAGACTTGGTTTTTCTTGTATCCACTAAATGAAAGTGATAGAGTATATGGGCTTAGACTCCATGGCCCACATACTCAGAAGATCAAACAACGCCAGAGGGACATCCACGTGGTGCCCTTCGGCCAAGTGGGTCCCGCAACGGCCAGAATCAAATCAATCCAGGACACTGCCTAGAGGCCAAGTGGGCCGCGTCGGCTATGGACCGCATCGACCAGAGGATCGCGTCGGCCAGAAGGCACCACATCAGCCAGGAGTTATCCTCACAGAATGTATTTTCCTATCTTTTTTGCTAAGTATTATACTCAGCCCATCACAGACCTTATTCCGCCTAAAGAAGACATGATTATTGTAATGGGCCTCCTAAGCCCAAGGCTAGGAGCCCAAATCCACGTTTACTCATATAAATAGCCCCCAGGGGTAGTTATATGGGGTTGATAAATATTAATTGCTCACTTTCTCCACCGTAATTCCCTGCATATTTGTGAATGAAGAGAAATCTAAATGATACTCACAATTGCTGAAGATTTCGTAGATGTCTTTGTCGTTCTCCACCCTTTGTGTTTCCCTAAGAGCCTCAGGAAATGGTGGCATGATTTCAGGAATGGCCGGTGGTGGAGTTGAGTTTTGAGGTTCCTCCTCCTCCGGTTGAGTTTTCTCCGTAAGCTCCTCTTCTTCCTCTTCCTCGCCAATGTGGTTCAAAATGCTTGGCATTTGTTTCAATTGATTCTCTAAGTTCTGTTCATTGGACACTGTATCTTGCGGGCATTGTGACATATCTCTCTGCATACTCCTCACACTGATAGTAAGAGCTTGAACCATGTCTTTGGTGGATATGCTAGAATAAGAATTCGAGTACATGTGATCTCTTCTTCGTGGATTATATGTGTTGGAGAACAGATCATATCTCCCTCCTTTGGGATATTTTCCCTTGGAAACCAACATCATCAATTTAGTGAAAGTATTCTTCTTGGAGCTTCGGGCAAAAATCTGTAAGATGCTTGTAAGACATGCAAATGCTGCATGTCTGGACATATTGAGATTTTGAACATAAAATAAACTCCTTTATTAGAGGTCAAGACGGAAATTTGACTCTCTAGAGATGATATGTTGGTATCCATATACTCATGAATGTAAGATCAAAAAATAGAAAAGTAAGAACTCTTTATACTTTTGTTTATTTGTTTATTTATTTTTATTTTTTTCTCAAAATAAAAATAAAAATGATTGCCTTTCCCCGGCAACGGCGCCAAATTTGACGAGCACTTTGTCGTGGTGTGCACTCAAAATAAATAAATCAATATAACACTTATACGTAGTATAACGTAGTAAGGTTTGTATCCACAAGGAAAGGAATACTTCTCTTCTTAATAAAATAGTAACAATGGGGGTTTTAATGTTGTAAAACTTAAAGAGTATTTAAACACCAAGTTGAATGACTTATGTGGTTTAATTAATTAGAGATGAGACTTACTTTTGCTTTTATCCACTTAATGAAATGTTCATCGATCCCGGTTATATCTTTAAATATCTTCCTCTCGAACACTCAATTGAGGAGTATATCTAGTTCATCAATGTTAGTTATTAATAACGAGACACGTTCATTAATAAAACTTACTACCGGGTCAATATATAACACGCGCCGTATATTAACCCGATAGTAGCAATAAACTTAAGATGAAAACGATTGAGACTGATAACCTCAACACAAGCGGTTTATTGGTTTAATCAATATAATTGATTCCCCTTAGGTTATTAACCATGAGACGCATGCATCAATAACCTAAGTTTACTACCGTGAAACGACCGAACGATTAACAAGCGTATTTGTCGATCGGTTCTAGTAATAATTAATATATGAAACAAAATTAGTTGATCCTTTAAGTAATGCTTAAAATATTAATATGAAATAGGAATAGGAATTAATTAATATTCAAGAAAGAAGATTAAAGGAAATAACTCACAACTTACAATCATTGTTCTAAAAATCGGCCTAGGCAGACCGATTAATCGGCCTAGGCGGCCTAGTCGGCCCTAACCGTAGAGGCCGAATCGGCCTAGTCGGCCAAAAAATCGGCCTAGTCGCCCAAAAAATCGGCCTAGTCGGCCGCCTAGGCGCTAGGCGCCCCTCAACCGCCCGACTAGCGCCTAACGAGTTTTAGAACAATGCTTACAATTCATTAAGCTTCAAAGTAGCAA